AATCATGTTTCAGGTGCAAATGTTCTCCCACTAGTCAATGGAAATACAGAATAAATAGTTTCCTCTTTTTCAACAGCTTTTGTAAATTGCTTTTAATCGAACTAGTGATTGGGTATTACGTGCCTCTTTCATTAATACATGCCGTTACTTTGTTTGTGATGGAGGAAGCAATCATAATTCCGACAAACAAAGTCAACCGTTCCTGTGGCTTTACCAATAAACTCGAGACATTGCTGCTTTTTTATAGGTGGTTCACCGTATCCACGAATGGATGGCAGAAAAATTGCAAGCCTGCTTCAGGGAGGGAAACGAATGCCCAAACCACAACATGTGGATGACAAATTGTAAGTTTTGTTTCTTGAAAATCAAACCAGCAGTGACAGCGCTTTTTGGAGGGCTGCGGTGCACATGCTATCGCGATTTTGACACGTCGAGCTACGGTCAGTTATTCAATTATGTAATCGTAGATCGCGAAGTGGAACCTAACACCGCACCTGTTGGCAATCGCTGTTATTTGTTATCTCAGAATTGGAGCTGACTGTCTCCTGCAAACTACATGTATATTGTCCAGTAGGGTAGGGTGGGGAGGACTACTCAGGTACATGTGTGATAGTGCTGGGGCTAGACCGAACAGACATAAATTGCATACAAATGGCAAGCAGACTTCCTTTCTTAGCGATTTAGGAATGACTGCTGTCTGCCAAAAGTTTGAGATATATATAATGAATAAAACAAGATTAATGCAAAACCTGTCTGAAATACTTTTGATGTTTTGTTTTTAATTAGTTATTTTTCTGCAAAGAAAAACAATCTTTTTCGGTTTGCGTTCTAGGCCATTGATTTATTTTATTTATTCATTTTATTTTAGCCTGATAGGACCTTTTTTTAAGTCTGACGATTCGCACCTCCCAACATTGTTGTGATTGAGTACCCCCTAGGGTACACTTACATTTGATAACTTTCGTTCTTGCCATGGGGAAAAGGGAAATTCTTTTCGAAAGCAATTTAAGCAAAATATATTGGTGTTTGCAACTACATCGAAATTTGATTGAAACAGTCCATCAGAAGTTCTTGTTTATCTCAGGTATCAGATAATGATGAAATGCTGGGAAAATGACCCGGATAAAAGACCAACATTCACTGATTTGAAAAACCAGCTCAAGGATATGGAGAACCAACACAAGGTAAGACAGAGGCACATTGTTTTCAACTTGTTTTTTCAAGAACGTCTGTTGAACCGGAGGAAACAATTAATTATTTACCCAATCATCTACGACCTTGCTAACGCATGCAATCACTATGAATTAACAACCTGGCAACGTCCTCTGGAGCAAGTTATTCTGGAGTAGCATTGAGCACAATAATATTTATGATGCGGAGTTCATCTGAGCCTGTGACATTTTTGGTCCAACAAGTAGCAGCCAATTGCGAAGTATTCAAGGTCATCGAAGGTGACTTAGGGTTGAGGTGCAAACGCATGTAAAAGATTGCAGTAAATAAATACACAACGTGTTCGTGTAGCTGTTGATAACATAACACTACTTTTCAGAAGGACATTGCATTTGGATAGTATTTTGGGAACCGTTGTAAGAAATGCAACGTCTCCAGTTATATAAAGCATATCGACTCCAGACTTGAGTCTAGAACCTTTCGACTTTGGTCTCAAACTTTCGGAAGGGTATCGCTGTTGATTGTTAAGACGTTTTCTCTGAAATCGACATAATGCTTAGGGCACGGTCATGATTATTAGACTCACGGGCTGACTCAGCTGTTGAATGATGTTTCAACCATACTATACCTAGTTGCCTCTATTTGTGAGGTACTTGTGTTTGTAGCTGTTTGCTAACTTTTCATACTGATGATGTAACTATTTTTTCATCTTAAGCGGCTGATAAACATGAAGATGTTCGACAAGACGCAGTTATACGCAAACGCCGAGGACTTGGTCGTGTAAAGTAGCAGAGGTTTCATCACTGCCCAAACAACAAACATTCATTGATTTCGTTATCAGTTTTCGTAATGTAGTGTTTTGCTCGAAAATGGATAAACTATTACATTAG